TGACCGGACACAGGACACCAGTTACTGGGGTAAGTAAGATGGGAAATGATGGAAGCCTAGATTTAGACCAGGGGTGTGAAGATGGAGAGACAGAATTAAGAAATACTTGTAGAACTAACAGACCTTAAAGGATGGTTAGATCTATAAAGAGGTTGGGCACCTGGGTGGCTCAGTTGTTTAAACGTCTGACTTCAGCTCAGGTCATGATCTTATGGTTTGTGGGTTCAAGCCCCACATTGGGCTCTGTGCTGACAGCTCAGAGCTTGGAGCCTGCTTCATATTCTGTGTCTCCCTCTCTCTCTGACCATCCCCCACTCATTCTCTCTCTCTCTCTCTCTCTCTCTCAAAAATAAACACTTGGGGTGCCTGGGTGGCTCAGTTGGTTGAGGGTCCGACTTTGGCTCAGGTCATGATCTCACAGTTTGTGAGTTCGAGCCCCACGTTGGGTTCTGTGCTGACAGCTCAGAGCCTGGAGCCTGCTTAGGATTCTGTGTCTCCCTCTCTCTCTGCTACTCTCCTGCTCGTGCTCTGTCTCTCTCTCTCTCAAAAATAAATAAAGATTAAAAAATTTTTTAAATAAATAAACATTAAAAAAAATAGATTCTCCCTCTACCCCTCCGCTTAGCTCACGCTCCCTCTCACTCTCTAAAAGAAATAAAATGAAAACAAAACAAAACAAAACTTATAGAAAGGAGGTTAACTCAGCCATTTGTTTTCCTTTATTCCAAAGTCTTACTAAGAATATATTACTGTCTTTTCCCCATTCTCTGTTTATTTTCTTGGTATAATGTTCACTTAATTTTGCTTGAATATCTCTTATTCTTCACAACTACCAGAAGCATTATCACCCACTACCACCAACCCAGCAGTCAGCAAGTATTTTTGGAGCACATATTACTAAATCATACTTTGTCCAATCTTGTAACAAATTTATAATCCTCTCTTTTATTCCTGAATTTCTATTAGTGGTCTCTGTTTGGTTTATCTCCTGTATTTTTAGTGGACTGTGTTTTCCTTTCTTTTTCTCTTTTTAATTTGAGATAACATGAGAAAGGGGGAGAGGGGAGGTGGGAGAGAGAGAGAGAGAGAGAGAATCTTAAGCAGGCACCAAACTCAACGTGGAGCCCAGTGCAAGGCTCCAATCAATGACCCTGGAATCATAACTTGAGCCAAAGTCAAAAGTCAGATGCTCAACTGACTAAGCCACCAAGGTGCCCCAAAGGCATTGTGTTTTCTTAAGTGTGTAATTTTTTCTTCCCTTCCTGTGCCATAGTATTTCAGTGCTTAAATTTTCTCTGTACACCCGCATTTTTAAAAATCATTTACTCAAGACAATGCTGCACAAATATTTCTAGTCCATTTTTAAAGCATTTAAAAGGATTTAACATTTAAGTTGTAAGTTAAATCAATAAACTGATAAAAACCATAATCGGCAACTACTTTCATTAGTAAGTTAACTTTCATTAAGAAAACATTAACTACTTAACTTTCATTAAGACAGCAACTAAAGATTGTTATTCATTTGCTTAGGCTCTGGTGTACTTATTTCCAATAAATAAATAAATAGCACTATACTTTGCTCAAAGAATTCACAAGATGAAAATTTTTTAGATCCTCATATGTGTAAATTATACTCATTTTATTCCACAGGCTATATATCTCAAGATACAAAGTTAAAATTCAGCTCCTGTACCACGGTAAGAAATGACATAGTTAACTAGAAGGCAAGTTATTTTGGGACACATGGGTGGCTCAGGTCATGAACTCACAGTTTGTGAGTTTGAGTCCCACATTGGGCTCCCCTGCTGACAACTTGAAGCCTGCTTGGGATTCTTTCTCTCTCCTTTTCTCTACCCCTCCCCCGCACCAGCAGGGGCTGCGTAGAGAAAGAGAGAGGGACAGAAGATCTGAAGTGGGCTCTGTACTGACAGCAGAGAGCCCAATGTGGGACTTGAACTCAAGAACCCCAAGATCATGACCTGAGCCAAAGTCGTATGCTCAACCGACTGAGCAATCCAGGCACCCCAAGACAAGTTATTTTAAATGCAGGCTTATATTTATCTTATTTATTCTTTTTCTAAAAGTAATAATTCTACACTCAACAAATATTTACAGTTGTTTTCAGGGCACCTGGGTGGCTCAGTCAGTTAAGCACCTGACTTTGGCTCAGGTCATGATCTTGCAGTTCATGAGTTTGAGCCCTTTGTCAGGCTCTGTGCTGACAGCTTAGAGCCTGGAGCCTGCTTCAGATTCTCTCTCTCTCTCTCTCTCTCTCTCTCTCTGTCTCAAAAATAAAATAAATAAATATTTTTAAATATTTATAGTTGTTTTCTTCAAGAAATATAAAAGACTCCCTTGTATCACTCAAATTTAAAGACTACCTCAAATGGCATAACATAGACTTTTAACTATAGAGAACAAACTGTGGTTACCAGAGGGGAGGTGAGGGGATGGGTGAAACAAGTCAATGGGATTAAGAGTACACTTAAAATAATGAGCATGGAGTAATGTATAGAATTGTTGAATCACTATATTGTACACCTGAAACTAATATAACACTATATGTTACCTATATTGGGATTAATTATTTTTGAATGGCATAACATCAAAGAGGAAAAGCAAATGGAGAAACAACTGTCCGCTAAATGCCACCCTTACCCATAGTGTGCATACCTAGTTGTCCTAAGCATTACTTACACAGATTGCAGTCTCGTCACTTAGCCTCTCCATCAAGTTTTTATTGAGTAAATTCTATGAGCTTTGCTCTGTGCTAGGCTCTGTAGATACAAGAGATACATAAAACACGGGTCCTGCCCACGAGGAGCTTACAATGTGATTGGGAGTTTTGTTAAACAAACTATAAAAGCTCTTAAAAATACATTTTGTACAAACTATTTTTATATAAAAAGGCACTTCAGATAATGAAAAAGAAAAGCCTTAGAACCTGAATGAAATGCAGCCACATTTTTATCCATGGATGAGCCTAGAGATATTTTGAATTAACAAAATATTCAGTAAAAATCTAGATTAATGAAAAATATAAGCACAAATATTTTTAGGACAACAATTAAACATTTAAGTAATGATAGTAATTAAGAGTATATCAAGCTAGGTATATTTTATACAGATGTTTAAAGTACCTGAATAATTACCATTGTCTTTACATTTCTTTTGAATGTCCTTCCAACTAGTGAGAATGTTGAAAAAAACTTTTGTTCTCTTGGTTTATATGGTTCCTTTATAACCTGGGTTTTATTATTTATTTCATTTTTAAAAACCATTCATATAGACAGTAAAAATGTGGGTTAATTCAACTTTTACTGAATTTTCATATCTTTTATGGACCAAAGTCCCCTTATAGCTATAAGACACATATACACATTTACATATAAAAGATAATGACTCTAATTTTCTCCTCCTTCCTTGGGAGAATTTGGATAAACATAGCTTCTGATGGAAGCCCAATCATCTAATCCTAACATGCCCTGTTTCCGTAGCTCACCCTGGCCCTACGCCATTCCTCTTCAGACTACCCAGCCCAACCCCTTCTGGAGCAGAAGAGCTGGGTGTTTGCTTGTTTTTGTTTGTTTGTTTGTTTGTTTGTTTGTTTCACACTGGGCTGCAGTGGTGCTGTACTAAAGCACTGGTTCTGCAATAGGATGGAGGCGGGCGTAGGCACGAGTTCATTGTTCCAAAGCAAACGTCATAGGTCTAAAATTACACAGAATATATTATACGTAGTCAGGAACCAAGTCTATACAAGTCACCTGTAAAGCATTTTAACATCACAGGTTTGTTTGCATATGTTTTCCACAGAGTTTCACAGTAGGTACTATAATTACAATAAAACTGTAGATCAAGCCCCATTTCTCCACACGTGACCTCTTTGGCAGAAATTTATTTTATTCTGAAGGCTAATTCTATTCTCAGCGTAATCTCATTACATAATTATGAGAATCCATGTTTCTGGAAGATAATTTTAAAAAGGAAGATGAAAGCCCTTGTTAAAAGTCAGTAAGTGTGTTGCTGAATCATGATCCAGAATATTTGAGAACATCTGTTACAGAACTTATTTAGGGTGAATTTAGTATGAAATGGATATATTTCTGTGGATTAAAAATGAAAGTACCAAAAGTATTTTACACTGGCATATACCATCTCTCCATTAGATTTCAAACTAATTTGACAGAAATCATTTCTAATTGTGTGAGAACTCTTTACCAAATAGTCGTGATTTTTCAAACTTTTCCAATCATTTTATTACTTGATGACTTTCACATATAGCGTTTTAATAAACATTATTGTATTAAACTACATGTGATTATTCTGCCTGGATGTAGCTTTGTGTGGGGGGGGGAGAGTAGAGTGTGCAAGCAAGGGAGAGGCAGAGGGAGAGAGAGACAGAGAGAGAAAGAGAGAGACAGAGACAGAGACAGAGAATCTTAAGCAGGTTCCACGCTCAGCATGGAGCCTGATGCGGGGCTGATTCCATGACAGTGGCATCACAACCTGAGTGGAAACCAGGAGTCAGATGCTCAACCAACTGAACCACCCAGGCGCCCCTGGATGTAGCGTTTTTAAATCAGGAAAGTTTAACATAAAATTTCCCGAGTTGAATAGCAACATGGAAACAAAGAGCTTTCTTTCCATAACATTCATTTAAATTTGCAACTGCTAATATTGTACGTAAACGTTGCCTTTGTTGAGAATTTACCAATTAAGGCCCATCTTTCTTGGTGTCAAATACTGCACTAGTGTTAAGAGACCTATGGAGAAAATGTAAGAAAAGGATCCTGTCCACCATGAAATAGAATTTTGTTAAGGGGAAAAGACATATATAATGAAAATATTTCAAGGATAATATAGAAATCATCAAAATGAACACTATATAACTTCAGAGTGGGATAGGAAGAGAACAAAGAAACTTAAATTTCAAGGCCTAAGGACAAGGTGAGATTGCACATGTGGGAGATGGGTAGGTTTTGCATGGGGAAAAATAATCGTGAAGTATTATAAACAAGAATAGCACCAAGAGATTTGAAGTTGATTCTGTCCATGACATTTAAACCTACATAGTCAGGAAACCAGTTTGTATAGTTGAAACTGAGAACTCATATTCTATAGCTGGAGATAAGTCTGGATAAATAATTAATCACGGTTAATACTTGTTGAGTATCTACTGTGTAAGGCTCACTTTACATACATTATCACAATAACCCCATTACAGGTAAGTATCATTATCTTTAATTTGTAGATTAATTCATTGAGATTCAATGAAATTAATTAAATTTCTCAAGCTCACAGAGCTAGTGCGTGGCACAGCCAGATTTAAATCCAAGTTTGATTCCAAAACCCATGCTTCTATTATTGTCTTGTAAATGGAATATCATGGAAACCAATCTCACATCCCACTCTACTGTACGAAGAACAATAAACTTGTAATCAAAGAACTTACAGTTGGATCTAAATTCTTACTTACCCATTGAGACATTGGGCAAGCCCTCTGTAAACTTGAGCCTCTTTTGCAAAAATAAAATAATTTTGTATTTTTCTCTGTGTGTACAGCAAGTTACATAAAGCCATTTAAAATACAAGTTTGAATGAAAATAATTGTGTTTTACAGCTAATCCACAACTGGTTCAACTATTTAAAGGAATGACTCACTGCTTTGGTTTAATCTAATTGACAGAGAGGACAATTGAGTCACAGTATAGGCTCCTATGGCAAAACTGCTGATACATTTTATCATGGCTTCCTTAGATGTCCTAGTAGGTGAAATCATAATCCTTAGCACAGTGGCTAAAGGAGGGACACTCAATAAATATGTTTTGAACTGAATGAATGAGGGGGGGGAGGGAAAGAGGAAGAGAGGGGGAAAGAAAGTACGAGAGAAAGACTGGTTGAATTTACAAGCAGGTAAGGACATAAGCTGAAAGATATTCAGTGACTCAGAAGTGTTTTTTTTTTTTAGTTTATTTATTTATTTTGAGAGAGAGAAAGACTCACAAAGCACAGGGCAGAAGGGGTGCAAAGAAAGAGGGAGAGAGAAAGAATCCCAAGCAGACTCCATATCAGCACAGAGCTTAACGCAGGGCTCGAACTCACAAACCGCGAGATCATGCCCTGAGCTGAAATCAAGAGTCAGATGCTTAAACAACTGAGCCACCCAGGTGCCCTTCAAAAGTATTTTTTTTAAAGCTCATAGAATTTCTAATTTCAATTCAGATAAAATAGATTCCTTTATTTCATAAAAAGTAACAAAATTTGATATTTGGTAGCTATATCACTAATTTTGCCTTTTGTATGTCACCTGGGAAGAAATTTTAAGAAATCCTGAACCGATAGTGGTAAATCAAAAGGCTATGCCCAGATTTTTTATTGCTCTAACACAATGGTTAATCATGTAGCCTCACTATTGTTTTCTGTGACACCTTAGAAGAGCCCTTAGCTGCACCCACTCCTTTTAATCTTCAAAGACAGAGAAATAGCACTTAAGCTGATTCCTGAGTTACAAAGTGACATATAACCAGAATACAGACCTAAGGACTTTTAGTTCCAAGCTTAGTGCAGAGGAACACAACATCTCCAACACATTCATCACACATTTGGCATAAATATCTTTTGCCATGGTGCCCTCCTGCCTCCATTTGGCACCTTCTTCTATCTCATTAAAGTTTATGTCCTAGTAATTGAATTCCTGCCCTCAAAATGTTGACTTTTCACTTTTGAAAACTTACACTGATTTTTCAAACTCATCAAATCAAAACTACCATAAAATGTAAAGATGTCCATAGTGGTTGAGACTCAGGCAATGGCTTGAAGTTGGGGGAACACTGAAAAATGGGTTTTTCATTTTCTCACTTTTTCACCAATCATTCTCTGTGAAATCAGGCTCAACTTCTTCAATATGTACCCCAAATCCAGTTCCAGGATGCAATTTAGCACTCACAGGCACACTTTACGATAATAAACCTGGTTTCAGTGGGTATTACTGACGACAAAAAAACATTAATTTTTTTTTAAAGACGAAAATGAATAATCCAAATCAAACATAAATTCTCCTTCTCAGGTGGGAAGAAATACACAAACTCAGGGAAGCAGGAATTTCAATAAAAAGTTCAGCTCCGTTCTTTCATTATCTGTTAGAATAGAGAGAGAAAGATGTAATAAGCATGGGTAGGGGGACTGTTTTCGTCTGGCATGAAGAGAGGGTATAAGTGAGAAATACTTAGACTTTGAAACATTCTTTTTTTTTGAGTTATTAAAAAATATTTAGGAAGTTTATTTTGTAGGTCACACAACCTTTACAAATGTTTCCATGATTGTATCTTGGTGGGCTGCAGAGTCACTCACTCTGCATGAAACATTCCCATTTGAAGTAATTACATGTGTGTTTTGTAAAGAAAAGCAATTTAAATAACTCTGGGATTTTGGATCACTTAAGCTTCTGAATGATTTAATTATGCTAAGTATATGCCTTTTATGAGAAATTTTTCTGGTTCCCAAGTTTATAAATCCAGTAGAATAATTAAATCATAACACTGTATCAGTTGTAGTCACATTGAATAATCTTGTTGTAAAAACAAGTCACAGTGTCTAACAATATCCTAAAAAGATATGAAATACCCTAAAAAGGATGAATGCAAATCTAAATAACCATGAAATACATTTTTTCTCCTATCAAACCAACAAAGTATTTGTGTGTGTGTGTGTGTGTGTGTGTGTGTGTGTGTGTGTGTGTGTACGTGTGTGTATGTTTTAAAATAATATACAGTGCTGGTTAGGATGAAGTAAAGCAGAAACTCTACCACATTGCTGATGAAATTCTAAATCTTTATAATTTTTTTGAAAAGGAGTCAGACTATGTGCATCTTTAAAGAATATTAAAATTGGCATATTAATTATTTCTTAAAGTATAGTTATGATAAAACAATCACAAATTTTTTTAAAACTATATTTCAGTCTTTAGGTAATGATATAGTTCTATTCATTGTGGGGCCAAATTTGAACACAGATTATGATAAGTAAACTACAGTGTACCTTTTAATAGACTATCATAAATATTAAAATTACTTTTAAAATAATTTGTAAATAGCCTGGGGAATGTTTATTTTATGTTAAGTTAGATAAAAACAAGATATGGTAAAAAAAAAAAAAAAAAAAAAAAAAAAAAAAAACCAAGATATGGTAGAGCACATGTAATATTATCCTAAGTATGTAAAACAAAATCAAGAAAAGGACAGGGGAAAAGACGAGAAATAAATTTACTAAAATAATGGCGAATTTTTTCCTGAGGAGTGGAAGTAAAGTTTAGCAAGCTGCTTTTCTTTTTAATTTTCTGTGTTTTTCTAAGTTTCTATAGAAAGCTTGGTTTATTTTCATAATGAAGGGAAAGGACAATGGGATTTACTTTAAAAAATTAAAAATGAAATTAGAGTAAGCCTACTAATAAAGAGATGGGAACTGGGGATCTCCCTTCTTTTCCCTTCACTTATTTTCCAAAGAATTCTTCATTTATGGCAAAAAAAGTGCCCAGAATAGATGTATTACATGCAGATATTTAAGGAAAGGCTGTAGGACGATGAAGATGAGTTGAATAAAAACTTTATTGACTTTGAAGCTACATTCCAGAATGAACCAGCTTATTGGTATACTTTAGGCATTGTTGCACACTATATCTCTATTGGAAAACACATTTTGATCTTCCCCTGAGGAACAGAAGTGATTACCTTTCAGTAACTTCAGCCATAAGAGAACAAATGGCCAAAGACTTTGAGCTGCTTAAATGTCCATATCCATCCTAACAACTTACATGGAATGATGGAGTCATTGTACCCAGCCTCACCCAGGGAATGAAATAAAATGAACGTGCTGACTTTCCATTACAATAGCGAGTTCAACTTATTTGAAAAGCCAAGTGTGCTATGTTTGAAAAAAAAATTAAAACTTTTCACATTCTTTCATTAAAACAAAAAAGATCACATAATGGAGTAATACCCGGAAGATTATTCATTCATTTAACCCTATAGTCAGAAATACTGAAATATTGAAATAAGGTGTTTTAGGAAGGAAGCTAATGCTTGAAATTTAATTATAACTATACATTGTATTCGGCATTATGATCTGCTTTCTAGAGTATCCATTCTTTGAAGTACGTGTTTTATACAAAATAAATCTATTCAAAAGGGCAAGCAGGGGTGTGCTAACCATGTGGCGAGCACACTGAGTTCTGATGTCTAATCAAAACAGAGTGGCTTAGCCTTAAAATACTCCTAGAGGGTGTTCTTAGTGTGAAAAATCAGTGACATGCAGGCTCTTTTACTGCATGAGAGTTGACTAGTCACAAGATCAGCCTGGAACCAGTCTCAGAAAGTTCTTAGTTGGAGGCAATTTAAGTGAAGTTGTAAAAACAGCAACAGCTCCTCTAAGGAATCTAGTCCTCCTTAGTCAGATGTGTGTGCTTAAACTGCACTTTAATTCTTAGGGATATTTCATCCTCGTAGCATGAACGCAGATCAGAACAGAGATAGGGGAAGGCTATACTGTAATCTAGACAGCTTCTACATCTCACCTTTCCAACTGGTCACTCCACATCAAGGTTGAGGAGCACTGGTGGGGTAAGGAGGTGGAGCTGGATGCATAGTTGTTTGTGTGGTGCCTGATCTGTGAACAGACAGAGGGTTTCAGTGGACAGAATCATTGATGATGATCCCTTTTGTCAGATGACTGTTCCTTGAACATTTTATAGAAAAGCAGAACCAAAAATCTATACATCAATTTGCTTAGCTGTAGCCAACTAAACAAAAATATTTTAGATCTTATCTTCCCAAGACTGCTTCATTTCTGCCTCCAAGCTTTGACCCACCTTCTATTTCCTCCTATAGTTTCACACCATATATTACTTGAGTAGAGACCACACCTAATATGACTTCTAAATCCATAGAGCAGCTATCATACCACTTGTTAAATGGTGAATGAAAACTCACTGGCTTCGAGGGTGCCTGGATGGCTCATTCGGTTAAGTGTCCCACTCTTGATTTCTGCTAAGGTCATGATCTCATGATTTGTGGGATCAAGCCCCACATCAGGCTTTGTGCTGCCAGCCCAGCTTGGAATTCTCTTTCTCCCTCTCTCTCTGCCCCTCCTCAACTCAAAAAAATAAAAATAAAAAAATAAAAAACAAACTTAAAAAAAGAAAAACCCCACTGGACTCAAATGATCGGTGTAGGTAAATCCAATTCTACCACTTTCTAGTTTTCAGTGACTTTCTGTTACTCCTAGGACAGACCATAATTCTTCACATGACCTCAAAGGTCCTTTTTGATCTAGCCTCTGTCTGCAACTCCAGCTTTGCCTGTTGAGACCACACTAGCGATCTGTGAATATCATGAATAGCATCATCCTCCTTCCTACCTCAGGGCCTTTGCACTTGAAGCTTCCTCTGCCTAGAATGCTCTTCCAATTCCCTCATCATCTGGCTGATTCCTACTTGTCCTTCAGATCTCAACTTGGAATATCACTTCTTCAGAGAATATTCTGAATATTGACTAGGACTGGTCCCCCACTATGTGATACCCACTATTTTTTTTTCAAGAGCTCATTGTAGCTTGGAAACAAAAGTCACTTTTGTGAGTATTATTTAATATTTGTTGCTATCTCTAGGCTACAAGTTTCATGCCTAGTTGTCCTTACAACTGTGTCTCCACCAGCTACCACAGTGCCTGACACATAGGTCATGGACAGTTAAGTATTTGTGGCACGATTAAATAGGATTCTCCAAATAATAGCTTAAATTCACTGGATTCTCCAAATAATAGCTGAGCAATGTTCTACAAATAATAGCTTAAATTCACTGGATTCAATAAAAACTACTAAGAAAGAAATATTTCCTCTGTATACAATTGTTAGTAATTCTCTTATAAGAAATGGCTTAAAAATTAAATTCTTACCAAAAAAAGTATTACGAGAAAAGAAGAAATAAATGAAATCCAGTGTTTCCTTAGTCAGTATTTTTTATTGTGTTCCTTAGGTATTTTTTTCTCAAAGGTTTAGTTAAGATCATTTTATTTTTTTTTTCTCTATCTAGTTCATTCTTTCATTCTTTTCCATTTATTTTTTTTTATTTATATATGAAATTTATTGTCAAATTGGTTTCCATACAACACCCAGTGCTCATCCCAAAAGGTGCCCTCCTCAGTACCCATCACCCACCCTCTCCTCCCTCCCACCCCCCATCAACCCTTAGTTTGTTCTCAGTTCTCAACAGTCTCTTATGCTTTGGCTCTCTCCCACTCTAACCTCTTTTTTTTTTTTTTTTTTGTTCCCCTCCCCCATGGGTTTCTCTTAAGTTTCAGGATCCATAAGAGGAAGTCCATATGGTATCTGTCTTTCCATGGCTTATTTCCACTTTAGCATCACACTCTCCAGTTCCATCCACGTTGCTACAAAAGGCCATATTTCATTTTTTCTCATTGCCACGTAGTACTCCATTGTGTATATAAACCACAATTTCTTTATCCATTCATCAGTTGATGGACATTTAGCTCTTTTCCATAATTTGGCTATTGCTGAGAGTGCTATGAACATTGGGGCACAAGTGCCCCTATGCATCAGTGCACTTGTGTCCTCAAATTCCTAGTAGTGCTATTGCTGGGTCATAGGTAGGTCTAGTTTTAATTTTTCTGAGGTGAACCTCCACACTGCTTTCTCCAGAGCGGCTGCACCACTTGCATTCCCACCAACAGTGCAAGAGGGTTCCTGTTTCTCCACATCCCTCCAGCATCTATAGTCTCCTGTTCATATTTTTGGCCACTTGACTGGGCTGGCGAGGTGATACCTGAGTGTGGTTTTGATTTGTATTTCCCTGATAAGGAGCTTATCGCTGAACATCTTTTCATGTGCTCTGTTGCCATCCGATGTCTTTTGAGAAGTGTCTATTCATGTTTTTCTGCTCCATTTCTTCACTGTTATTTGCCTTCAGGTGTGGAGCTCTGGTGAGCTCTTTTTTTTTTATAGATTTTGGATACTAGCCCTTTGTCCGGAGAAGGGTTTGGTAAATATCTTCTTTTCCCATTCCTGCTTTTTTAGTTTTAAGTGGGTTGTTTCCTTTGGTGTGCAGTGCTTATCTCATAAGGTCCCAGTAATTCACTTGCTTTTAATTCCCTTGCCTTTGGGAGGGTCGAGTAAGAGATTGCTACTTTGGCTGAGGTCAGAGAGGTCTTTTTTTCCTGTTTTCTCTCCTCTGGTTTTGATGCTTCCTGTCTCAAGGTCCATGGTCCTTTATCCATTTTGAGTTTATTTTGTGAAGGTGTGAGAAAGTGCTAGTTTCAACCTTCTGCATGTTGCTGTCCAGCTCTGTGCACCATTTGCCAGAGACTGTCTTTTTTTTCCATTGGATGTTCTTTCCCATGGTCAAAGATTAGTTGGCTATTGTTTGTGGGTCTAGTTCTGGGGTTTCTATTCTATTCCATTGGTCTATGTGTCTGTTTTTGTGCCAATACCCATGCTGTCTTGATGATGACAGCTTTGTAGTAGGCTAAAGTCTGGGATTGTGATGCCTCCTGCTTTTGGTCTTCTCTTCAAAATTACTTTGGCTATTCGGGGCCTTTTGTAGCATATGAATTTTAGGGATTGTTTGTTCTAGTTTCGAGAATAATGCTGGTGCAATTTTGATTGGGATTGCATTGAATGTAGATAGCTTTGGGTAGTATTGACATTTTGATAATATTCTTCCAATCCACGAGCAGGGAATGTCTTTCCATTTCTTTAAATCTCTTCAATTACCTTCAGGCTTTCTATAGTTTTCAGCATACAGATCCTTTACATCTTTGGTTAGATTTTATTCCTAGGTATTTTATGCTTCTGGTGCAATTGTGAATGGAATCAGTTTCTTTATTTGTCTTTCTGTTGCTTCATTGTTAGTGCATAAGAATGCAACTGATTTCGTACATTGATTTTGTATCCTGCAACTTTGTTGAATCTATGTATCAGTTCTAGACTTTTTGGTGAGCTCCATCGGATTTTCCATGTATAATATCATGCTGCAAAGAGCGAAAGCTTGACTTCATCTTTTGCTACAATTTTGACGCCTTTGATTTCCTCTGTTGTTGTCTGATTGCTGATGCTAGAACTTCCAGCACTATGTTAAACAACAGCGGTGAGAGTGGGCATCCCTGTCGTGGTTCCTTGATCCTAGGAAAAGTCTTCAGTTTTTCCCTCGCTGAGGATGATGTTAGCTGTGGGCTTTTCTATATAAATGGCTTTTTTATGATCTTTAAGTATGGGTTCCTTCTTATCCCGACTTTCTCAAGAGTTTTTTATTAAGAAAGGGATTTTGTCAAAGGCCTTTTCGTATCAGATTGACATGTGATCATATGGTTTTTTCTCTTTTTTTTTGTTAATGTGTTGTATCACGTTGACTGATTTGCGAATGTTGAACTTCAGCCCTGCATCCCAGGAATGAATCCACTCTGATCATGTGAATAATCTTTTATATGCTGTTGAATTGATTTTCTAGTATCTTATTGAGAATTTTTGCATCCCTATTCATCAGGGTTGGCCTGTAGTTCTCTTTTTTTTACTGGGTCTCTGTCTGGGAATCAGTAATACTGGCTTCATAGAATGAGTTCTCCTTCCCTTCTATTTTTTGAATAGCTTGAGAAGGATAGGCATATCTCTGCTTTAAACGTCTTGGTAGAACTCTGGGAAGCCATCTGGTCCTGACTCTTATTTGTTGGGAGATTTTTTGATAACCGATTCAATTTCTCAAGGTTTATGGGTCTGTTCAAGCTATTTCCTCCTGATTGAGTTTTGGAAGAGTGTGGTTGTTCAGGAATTTGTCCATTTCTTCCAGGTTGTCCAATTTGATGGCATATATTTTTTTTTCATAGTATTCTCTTGATAATTGTTTTGTATTCTGAGGGGATTCTGCTGTAATCATTCCATTTTCATTCATGATTTTATTTGGGTCCTCTCCTTTCCTTTTTGGAGTTTCTCCTGGCTAGAGGTTTGTCACTTGTTTATTTTTTTCAAAACCAACTCTGGTTTCCTGTTGATCTGCTCTCTATGTTTTTTAGATTCTATATTGTTTATTTTCTGCTCTGATCTTTTATTATTTCTTCTGCTGGCTTAGGCTGCCTTTGCTGTTCTGTTTCTATTTCAGGTGTGCTGTTAGATTTTTGTATTTGGGATTTTCTTGTTTCTCTTGAGATAGGCCTGGATTGCAATGTATTCTCTCTGTGGGACTGCCTTTGCCATGCTTCAAAGCGTTTCCTGATTGTTGTATTTTCATTTCGCTTGTTTCCACATATTTTTTTTAATTTCTTTCTCTAATTGCCTGGTTGACCCACTCATCTGTTAGTAGGGTGTTCTTAACCTCCATGCTTTTGAGGTTTTCCAGACTTTTCTGTGGTTGATTTCAAGCTTTCCATAGCATTGTGGTTCAGCATGCATGTGCGATTAATTTTGTAAACTTATGAAGGGCTGTTTGCAGTATATGATCTATCTTGAGAATGTCTATGTGCACTGATGAAAGTATATTCTGTTGCTTGGGATGCAGAGTTCTTAAATATATCTGTCAAGTCCATCTGATCCAATGTCTCATTCAGGCCCTTTGTTTCTTTATTGGATCGTGTGTCTAGATGATTCATCCATTTCTGTAAGTG